TCGAAAATAAACGATTCTAGAAAATGGTAGATTGCTGTATGGTTGTGTTGTTCATATACACGTGAAAGTTTACATTCATACATACTTTATTGAGTTCACCATACACTACAAATTGGCGACGAGTATAAAGGTAAAATTATAAGTATACTAGGAGATCAATATGCCGACTATCAGACATCTAGAAGCCTACGATAATACAGAGGATTGGAACTCTTACGCCGAGAGGCTAGAATCCTTTGTTGATGCAAATGACATCGACCCTGAAAAACGTGTTGCTACGCTACTGACAGTGATCAGCGCGAAGACGTACAGCATATTAAAAGATCTGTGCACGCCCGACATACCCAAAAATAAAACGTATGAGGAGTTATGTGAACTACTCAATAAGCATTTTTTTACCAAAACCTCTAGTAATTGCAGAGCGTTTTCGCTTCTATAAACGTAATCAACAGGCTGGTGAAACAATAAGCAACTACCTGGTAGAGCTGAGGCGTTTAACTAAACATTTCGAGTTTGGAGACAGGCTTAACAAATCACTCAGAGACAAATTCGTTGTTGGATTAACATCAGCCACAATACAAAAACGGCTGTTAACAGAAAAAGGGTCAACACTTCAAAAAGCTACAGAAGTGGCATTAGGAATGGAGTCTGTAGCCAAGGACGCTACAGAAATTAGTGGAAAACCACCTCAACCTGTTGATTACATACATAAGGGCACCAAACCTAGACATAGTACCGCTAGTCATACATCAGCTCAACATAAGCCACAAAATCAGTGCTACAGATGTGGTAACCCAGCACATAGGGCAGATACATGCAGATTCATTGAAACAACATGTAATTTATGCAAGGTCAAAGGGCACATCGAAAAGGTATGCTTCAATAAAAAGAAAAACACTAGTGGCCATAGAACCGGACATACAAGAAAACCCAATAATAAAACTCAACATCGCTATAACAAAAATAAGCGTGTACACAACGTTGAGGGCGTATCAGAATCCGATGATGAGTTAGAGTTTACTGGTATTAATCAACTTACAGTGAACAGTGTCCCCATTGGTGTACCCATACATAAACGGACAAAAAGTAAAAATGCAACTAGACACGGGAGCGACATATTCAATAATGAATCTAGATGACTTTGAGGAAAACTTTCCAAACGAACAGTTATGCAAAGTAAAGGAAGGTTTCCATACATACACTGGTGAACAAATAGAGTGCTCAGGATCCTACAATGTACACATTAACTACAATGGACAAACGGTAAGCGACAAACTGTTTATCGTAGACAAGGGTGGCCCACCACTATTTGGTAGAACTTGGTTGAGCAAAATAAAGCTACCATGGCATGAAATCTTCAACATAAACTACAGTACAAACAACACATGTGGGAACAGCAAAACACACATGCAAGTTGATCAACTGACAGAAAAAAATGCAGAACTGTTTTTTTTAGAAAGAGTAGGGCTCCTGCTGAAAGGACAAAAAGCCAATCTTCACATGGAGGTGAAGGCTATGCCGAAGTTCTGTAAAGCCAGAGAAGTACCTTACGCATTGCGACCAGCAGGGGAAAAAGAGCTTGACAGACTCGAAAACGAAGGGATAATCACACCAATTAAGTTCAGCGAATGGGCGACTCCAATAGTCCCCATCGTGAAGCCGGACAAGTCAATAAGACTATGCGGAGACTACAAAGTAACTGTCAACCAGGCCATAAAGCCGGACAAACACCCAATGCCGAAAATAGAAGACGTTTTCGCAACACTTGCTGGAGGGGAGAAATTCTCAAAACTTGATAAAAAAAAACGCATACGTACACCTAGAAATGAGCGATGAAGCGAAATGCATACTTACCATAAACACACAGAAAGGTTCATACCAAGTAAACAGACTACCCTATGGTATAACCCCAGCTACCGGAATTTGGCAACGAGTCATGGAACAAGTCGTACAATGTATTCCTGGTGTTGCATGTATTCTGGATGATATGATTTTAACTGGCCAAAATGATGAAATACACTTACAACGTCTTGAACAGGTGTTACAACGACTAAAAGAAAATGGACTGATTCTGAACAAGAACAAATGTCAGTTTCTAAAATCAAAGGTATTCTTGGGTCATGTGATAGACAAACACGCCTCCATAAGTCACTCGACAAGGTTGATGCAGTGGTCAATGCCCCAGCACCTACAGATACAACAATGTTGCGTTCATTCATCGGCTTACTGAATTACTACCATCGATTCCTACCTAACTCATCTTCCGTACTCTATCCATTACACCAACTTCTTCCAAAAGGAAAGCAGTGGGAACGGTCCAGTAAATGTGAAAACGCATTTGTGAAAGCAAAGAATACGATAGCAGAAGAACAAGTATTAGCGCATTACGACCCAAAGCTGCCAGTTAGATTAGCTACGGATGCATCGCCATACGGCCTAGGGGCAGTGTTGTCACACATCGTAAATGGTGAAGAGAGACCAATTGCATTTGCCTCAAGAAGCCTTACTGCAGCAGAAAAGAACTATTCACAGATTGACATGGAAGCACTGGGGATTGTATATGGTGTAAAGAAATTTACTACTTACCTGTTGGGGAGAAAATTCAACATATTAACCGATAACCAACCACTCACCGGATTGTTTAGCCCGACGAGAGGAACCCCAGCTACAGCCGCAGCTAGACTAACGCGTCAAGCGATTTTCCTTTCAGGATTCGACTATGAAATAGTATACCGTCGAAGTACAGACAATACGAATGCAGATGCATTATCAAGACTACCACTCAGCTCACAAAAGGAAAAACCACGAACACTGGATGACACAGAATTATTTTACACTGACTGTTTTGAAGTTTTACCAGTTACATTCAAACAAATTAAACTACACGTACAACGCGATTCAATTCTGTCGCGAGTGGTAGACTATACGAGAAATGGCTGGCCTAACGAAAGGAACGAGGAGCTCGAAGCCTACTTTCGTAGAAAAGATGAGTTGAGCTTAATAGATGAATGTGTGCTGTGGGGTAACAGAATAGTCATACCGCCAAAGTTGCGCAAGGAAATATGTAATTACCTACATCAAGGGCACCTCGGTGTTGTAAAGATGAAATCGATTGCAAGGAGCTACTGTTGGTGGTCAAAGATGGATCACGATATTGAAGCATTAACAAAAGCATACCCTGGTTGTCAGCTTAACATGAAAGAACCGCCCAAAGCATCCCTACACCCATGGGAGTGGCCTGAGAATGTTTACGACCGCATCCACATTGATTACGCAGGTCCTATCGACGGAGTTATGTATTTAGTAGTTGTGGACGCTCACTCTAAGTGGCCAGAAGTGCTCGCTACTAAAGACACATCCTCAACTAAAACCATTAGTTTGCTAAGGAGTCTATTTGCACGATATGGCCTGTGCAAAACGCTGGTATCTAATAATGGATCCCAATTCACATCACACGAGTTTGAAACATTCCTGAAAAGCAACGGTATTGTACATATAACCTCAGCACCGTACCACCCTGCTACGAACGGCCTCGCAGAGCGCATGGTACAAACGTTTAAGTTTGCTTTGAAAACCGCCAAGTTCGACAAAGGCGCTAAGCAGCTGAAATTAAACAATTTCACGATGCGGTACAGAAATACACCACACGCTACAATTGGCATGTGCCCGGCACTATTCTGAAACAGACGCCTAAGAACGCGACTGGACCTCATAAAACCAGATCTAAAGCAACGAGTGCTTGAAAGACAAACGAAACAGAGAGTCAGTGCAGGAAAACAACGTGATTTCAAAATTGGACAAAAAGTACTTGCTAGAGACTACAGGGACAAAAACAAGTGGGCTGTGGCCGACATTAGGCATTTTTCGTTTTGACTACGTGGCCAGTCTACTACGAACTAATAGAGCGTAACAGACATCTGCGCATGCTCACAAACCTTACTGGCTAAATCGGCGTTGTGACAGCTTCCGCGACAACCCCAATTTCTGAATTTGGCGTAGTGGCGACTACCCTAATACTGACCAATCAGATCACCGAATTGTTTAGCAAACTGCTGGTAACTTTTTTGTTGGGGGTTGCAATTTTCATCGCATCCGCGATCGAGCATTATTCGTTTATAATGAATTAATTATTAAAACAAGTGAGTAATTAAATGTTTTATATAAAGGCCTATTTATACACATGCAATAAATGAGGAATGATAGTCACAACATAAATTTAGGTAAATCAAGGGATAGTGAAAAAAGAGCCTTAGGCCTAGGCTAGCCTAGTCTTGTCAGGGTGGATTTCGGGTAGGAGAAAACACATTATCTGGTGCCGCTAGCTAGGGCATCCGCCCTTGATATCGTGGATCAATTAAGCCTTGCTATATAAATTAAAATACCTCTGTTTAAAATAGTTATTTATTTGTACATCATCGTTGCATTTGGCAAATTGCCTGAGCAGGCCTGACACCCCTCTTCTCCCGGTAACGACTCTTTTGACACCTAGGGCCTAAGCTAGGCTGGCCGAGCCTAGGTAGGCCTAGACTAGATCCTAGCCAACAGCGAAACATCACTCAGTGTTTACTGGAAACTTTTTATTTTGTATACAGTATTTGGCTAAAGTTTTTATTTTCACATTTCCTTTTTCAAATATAAAACAAGGGAATATTGTTCTCTGGTAATAAAACCAATGGTCGACTACTCCCCTCCGTAGGCCTACGTGTGTGCTGCGTCGTCGTAGTCGCCTTAAAAAACGAAAACAGCTCTTGGTCTACTACGCGAACAGTGTCTTGGCGTTGCCGTCACGCTCCATTAGTTCGTAGTAGACTGGCCGCGTAGTCAAAACGAAAAATGCCTATTGTTGAAATAAAGGGATCACTATCTTACTTTGTAAAAACACATCAAGGAGGACTCTGGAAAAGGCATGTTGAGCAGCTAAGGCAAACACAAATAAAGGTACCTGAAACTTCAGCGCCTATGTTAACACAAAACGTTCCAGAAGCAACGCCCACAGAGGTGATTGAACCCCAACCATTAGCTGTTAATGATTCGCAAAATGCGGACGTGGTAAATGACTTGCCAAAAGAAACATATACTAAAGAGATCACTCGACGCTCTAAGCGAGTCATTAAAAGTCCTAAACGACTCATAGAAGAAATGTAAGGGACTCATTAATTTTTAATAACAGAGAACACGGACACTTTTAAACTGGACATTGGTTGATCTTTATTGCCAACAAACCATAATATTCTTTTCTTACGTAAAATTCAACAACGCAATCATATTGTTTATCAGGAAGTCAGTTCAGTTTGTTAAATATTGTTTGTACATGTATGTTTTAAAAAAATGAAATAAAATAAATATATATATAAAACAATAAAAATAGATTCTAAAGAGACCATTATCAAACACACCCAAATGTTAAAATCACTTTCAGATTAAGTGCGGGAGAGTTGTAATATATTATCGTTATCTTCAGTTTTAATACAGTATCCACACCGCACCTATTCATAACTGTACATTTCTATGTATAGCGCCACCTATAGTCGAAAATAAACGATTCTAGAAAATGGTAGATTGCCGTATGGTTGTGTTGTTCATATACACGTGAAAGTTTACATTCATACATACTTTATTGAGTTCACCATACACTACATCTTCACATGCGTGTATCTAGTGGGAGATAAATGCAATTGGAAGTGTTGTGCATGCATAACCAGGAATAACCTTCCAGACGAGAGCAAAAAGAACTCATCATATTCAGTGCTTGTTAATAATAATAATAATAATAATAATAATTATTATTATTATTATTATTATTATTATTATTATAATTATAATAATAATAATAATAATAATTATAATAATAATAATAATAATAATAATAATAATAATAATAATTATAATAATAATAATAATTATTGTTGTTGTTGTTGTCGTTGTCGTCGTCGTCGTCGTTGTTGTTTATTATTATTATTTATTATTATTATTCTGGATTTATATTGCGCCTCACATTGACACAACCTCGAAGCGCTAGAGCATTATTACCCCCGGATCACTGGATCAAGCACATATGGAACACACACTCAAGCCCCATTAGGGAATTCCATAATGTTGCAGCTGTATTCAGCGCAGGCTGTGTTTGAACCTACCAGGTACCCACTTGTACTCCTGGGTGGAGAGAGACAACTGTAGATAAAGTGCCCTGCCCAAGGACACAAGCGACTTGCACAGCGAGAGTTTTGAACCCCCGACCTCAAGGTTGGGAGTCCAAACCACAGCCGATGCGCCAACCGCTTGTTATAGTTTGAGTATTTCATGGGTTCCGCGAGGGCTTTACAGTATAACCAATCTTCAATATTACAGGCCTAACAATATATTACTGGTTAAAATGAAAATATTTAAACTTTTTTCAAATCACAGAAAATCAAAATTGTTATATTCAGTGCATTCACGACTGTCATGAAAATGTGAAAATTCTTAAACTTGGTGGAGTACGGACGCACTCATCGCACCACCCCGCCCACTAGATAGACAGGCCTGGAAAACTTTAAGTTTTACTTGCCAGTATTATGTTAGGTATCTTCTAAGACCACATACTTTTAAAAAATATTTATCTCTCACCCTGACCTTCGCCATGGCGAAGGTGCAAAGGTCTGGGTCCGCGCCTGAGAATGCATGACTATAGAGAAATAACATCACTTATTCGCTGAAATTTGTTATATTAACTAGGCCTACTTTAAATACAGAATGAGTTATAAATAGCAGTACAGTAGATTAAATTGATATTATTATTTTTTTGTAAAGCTGTAAAATAACAATTCTCTAAAAATTTAGTCTCATTTGAGAAAGCAAAACCAAATCTATATATACATCATAACCCACCGTTATATAATGAGCGTAATTTCGTAACTAACTCGGTGTTGCGTAAGAAAAACTTGTAACAGAAGCCGGGCACTCACTGCGCACGACGAACCCAACTCCGCTTCATGTGAGCGCTAGACCACGCAACGCCGTCAGTGGTCGTCTGAACGGATCGTCATTAAAAACGATCGTCGCGTTGCGTTTTTTTTTTTTTTTTTATAGAATTGCGTTGACCGACCACCGTCGGGCGTAATGAGTGCCCGGCTTAAGGGCTCACTCACCGTCTCGTTCGGCGACTCCAACAGGACAGTGCAAGTAATGATCTCTATATGGACTGAAATATGGTGCGAGTCGTACATCAATCTCGAACGAATGAATAATGAAATTTTTACCATCTGGGTAAGTTTCCCGAAACAACTCTACTGTTGACGCCATATTACCACCGCAGTCAAGTAGTATTTTTCTGGGTCCTGATGTATTTAATTCATTGAGCTTATTGTCGACATTTTTAGTTCCATAATTTAGTACATTCGGCAAAACGTCATGCATTCTGTAACAGAATCATCGAAAAAAATATGAAAATATTGAAACGATTTTCGTTAACAGCGAACGTGTCGTGGAAAGGCTTCTAAAATATTACTCGGACTTATGTACACGACACAAAGATGAGTAAGCAGGACCTTTGGTCATCTGCCTGAAGATTGGCTAAGTAGACCAGGAGCCCGGGGGTGTCAGCATAGCTGGAAAGTTAACCAATTTTTGTGTATATAGTAATGTTCTATGTGCCTGTCTATGTAGAAAAATGGGCATCTGCCGGTCCCATGGTGGTGGGTGTGGTCAGGAGGGGTATAAAAAGGGCCCCAAAATTGTGCTTGATCAACTTGTGAATTAACCCAATGAAACCTATCAGAATATATTCGGCATCGTTCAAGATATCATGAATGGACAATGCCAGACATTTCCAATGGTGGGGGGTGGCTGCCAGACGCAAAAAACTGGTACCCCAAAATTAAGCTAGATCAGCTTGTGAGTTAACCCGATGAAACCTACTGGAAAATGTTGGGCATAGTACCAGGTATCAGGAATGTTCACCGCCAGACATTTTTAATGGTGGGGTATACCTGCCAGACACCCCCAAATACCCCGCCCAAAAAATTGACCTAGATCAGCTTGTGAGTTAATCCGATAAAAGTAGTTCAAGTTATTATGAATGGCCACCACCAGACAATTCTGATTGTGGGGTGTGTCTTCCAGACACCCCCTTATTCCCTGCCCCAAAAATTGACCTAGATTATCTAGTATTATCTAGTTAACGTGATGAAAGTAAATGTGAAGTGTTCGGCCTGTCTCTTATACACATCTAGATGTGTAAAAGAGACAGCAGGCCTAACAATATATTACTGGTTAAAATGAAAATATTTAAACTTTTTTCAAATCACAGAAAATCAAAATTGTTATATTCAGTGCATTCACGACTGTCATGAAAATGTGAAAATTCTTAAACTTGGTGGAGTACGGACGCACTCCTCGCACCCC